GAAGAGTAATGGGGAAGAAAAGGGGAGGTTGGGGGAGGGGTTTGTTGAGAGTATTGATGTAGATGGAGGGCTTGGGAGGGTTGATAAGGAGAGACCTGATGAAAGGGTGATGAGGCGGAATGAGGGGGTTGATGTGAGGGGGGAGAAGAAGAGGTTGTTGGCGGAGGAGAGGAGGGGGTATAGAACTGACGAGGATGGGCCCCCGGTTTGGTTGGATAGGTTGATTATTGCTGTGGCTGTGTTGTTGATTGCGGCTGTGGCGAGGGTAATGCTTGGTTGAGGATGAGAGGGGGAACTGCATTTTTGGGAACTGGCGTTGAATTAACTGCTTTGATGGGGCAGGGGGTGGGGTGGGATAATAAGGGAACGGAGTTGTTGGAATTGACACAGATATTTTGTAATTACAATAGCATCGCGGTGAGATCTGGCCGGTGGAATATGGAACAGACAGGACATGGAACTGGGAATTTGATTGCTGATATGTCCAAATTTTGTTCAACTTGGGCTTTTACAGTGAACAGACGTCAGCACGCCCCAGGGCATCCGTCGAGGTTCCCAGACTCGGTATATATCAGTTTAAGCACACCCATCTTGCAACAAACCAGCAGCCCATCCTGGTCGGTGGGAGACAGAAGAGCCGTCGATAGGTATCAAGAAGGCAAGTCGAGACATGTCGACATTTACATCCAGCACATCCTTTCACCTCAACACAAGCATCACAAGAACACAGAGTCCAGAAAACCAACCATTATTCTACACATATGACTACAAGAAACACACACTCCCCCAATCCGCTAATGCCCCATCTCCTATGCTCCACAAACGCCCAAAATGAAAGTCCCAGTCCTTAAGAGGTACCAGGGGGTATCACAAGTGAAGAAGAATGCCGACGAAGAAAATCCTGTCCAGCCCAACCTCCAACAAAAAGCCCTCTTTTCCCTCTCTCATGACTGTTCCCTCCCCCATATTTCCTAGCTCTTCTATCCACTACAAATAGAGTGGGAGAGCAACATAGTATCCTGATGCACAAAAGTTCCAAGAAAACATCATCCCTCAAACTTCCTCAAGCAGTAACCGTGGGCCTACCACTCGGCAACGACTTTCTCGGCTTGTTACCGGCAGCACTTTGCTCCACTTCTTTTCCCTTTCCTTTATCCTTCTCAGCAGGAGCAGTCAATCCCTCCTTGGAAACCTCCACCACAGTCCACCACCACTCTCCAAGACCTCTCGCCATCCCGGCAATCTGCTCCTTGAGCACGCCCACGCCCTCCAACCAATCCATGATCAGCTCCGCCTCAAACTCCATAATTACCGGCTTGACTGTCTTGACCAGCTCGTCAGGCCTCATGCTGCCACGTGAAGCCAGCGTGATCACCACCACGCTCAGGTACTGGATCCACATGTCCACATTCAGATCGCCGTGGCAAGTCATCCAGACCGGAACCGCCCCTCCCGGCCCCGCAGCAGGCGGTTTGGCAGCCAAAATCTTCTCTCGAAGTTCGACAAGCTCGGCGTCGTCATCGTAGACATACTTGTCGGTGGGAATGATGTCCATCTTGAAGTGCATGTACTCCTTGGGATACTTTCTCGTTTCATAGTTCCCGGGCTCATGACCCATGGGCACATTCTTCTGGTCGAGGATGACAGTGCGAACCCGGCCCATGGCTTGCATATTGACAAGCACCATCGTCATGCCCTTGTCGTCAGCCTTGAAACGAACCGAAGACTTACCCTTGGCTCTGAACGCCTCGTCCAGCTTCTTCTTGTACCGATAGGCCTGCTCAAACTTCTCCTGGCTGGCCGCCTTGACAAGCTGTTCAAACACTCTAGTGTTGAATCGCCACTGACGACCGTTACTGCAGTCCCTGGAAGACTTGGAGATGACGTGCATGCGCTGAAGCTGCTCGATGGCTCTCTCCACCAGCTCCGTGATCTCGACAGCTCTCATGTGTGGATAGAGGCCGTTACGCTTCTGCACCAACTTCTCGTCTAGCTTCTCTTGGACAGGCGTCACGCAGAGCGAGCGAATCCAGGCCATGGCGACCATCATATCTTGAGACGGCTTGGGCTTGGGCTGGTTGTCCAGTGAAACAGCCAACGGCTCGGATGTGGCGTCCTGGAAACGGTTAAAGACGGATCGCTGGGGGTGATAGTAAGCCTCGCGCCATTCACGGTCCTCGTGCCTAACGGGAGTCAGGGTGAAGTTCTCCTCCAGGGCCTGGCTTGTGGCGGGCAACGCCGTCTTCTCTTCCCAATCCAGTCTGGTCGTCCACTTGATGAGCTTAAGCCAGTCGTAGGCAAGCACATCGTCAAAGTCGAGAGGCGGCAACTCTTCCTCCTCGTAAGCCTTGAGGAACTTCTTGTGAAACTTGGCCGTCAATATGACAATGCTCGACGCGCGATCTTTCCTAAGCATACCCCAGTAGTGCCGCAATTGACTGAGACTGTGAAACTGTTAGCACCCTCTTCACTCTCTCGAGAACGAAACAAAGAACTTACGTTTGCTCAGGATATATCCTCATAATCAAGCCCCAATCAACAGAACGAGAAGTACCACCCAGGAGTGTACCGATGGCAACGTAAGTAGCGAGACGCACATTCTCACTTGACCAGTCCAGCCCTTCGGCCCTGTCACCCGGCTGTCTAAGGAAGTCCTCTGGGCACTGCGGGAAGCCAGTATGCTCGCGCTTGGTCTTGATCTCTTTGAGTTTGATCTTCCCAGAGCGAGTGCGAGTGGTCTGCGACTTAGAACCGGGAGGCCTGCCAAGACGTTTCTTCCTGTGGGCAAAAGCCCCGGGCAAGAGCTCTTGATGATCGTCATCAGACTCCAGCTCCTGGTAATCAAGGGTGTCCATCGTGAACTGCTTCTGGTCGTTAAAGCGGGCCTTGACCGGCATATGGCTCATTCCATGCTTGGGAGTGATGTTGAGGATGATGAAATCAGGCGCCACACTGCCAGACTCTAGCAAGGTAGACCCATTCTTGGACAATTCCCAGTCTGAGACCTTGTCGATAAGTGTGCAAAACAGCGCATACTTTTTGTCTTTCCAGTCAGTATGGGCATCCAAGTCGCTCTTCTTCGCCATAGTCTCAATGCTTCTGGGGATGTTCTGCTCAAGCTGCCACTTCCGGGTCGGCATATAGCCATCAACAGTGAAGCTGGTATCAAGCCTCTTGAAGTGCTTTTGGCTGTGCTCGTGCCACACCCCATCCGCAACTTGTGTCAGCGTAGTGCTCTCGGCAAACGTGCACTCCTTTGGCTTCTCAACCTCTTCATCCAACACCACAGTAATTTCGTCGCAATCCGTGCCCGTAGATTCGCCATCATTCGACTCAAGCTCGGGAGTCCACGACGTCCCCTTTTCATCACTCTCAAACTCTCCATCGTCAACCTCGAGGCTCTCGTTGGGCTCCAAGAATTTAACTGTAGGCGAGACAAGCTCAGGGTTGGGATTGGCATTAAGATTGTAGAAGTAGGAACCCTTCTTGAAAAACCAAGTCGGCATACTGTTCAACCCTGGGTTCTTGATCCTGCCGAGGGATTCGGGTATCTTCGTTGGCGACTTGCTTGGCCGGGCATTGTGATGCATCTTGCTGCCGCCCCGTGTGGGCAAGAGACGGAAGTGCTTGACGGCTTCAACGATGGATGGCCTGTGAATGCTGTCGATGTGGTTGATGTTGCCAAGCGGGTAGTATTGTTGAGGGGGCGACGTTTTGAAAAGCTCGGGATCCACGAGTGAGTCGCTTTGATTTTCTGGATGAGTCGCATGCCCCCCGTTCGACTTGTGCCGTTTCGGGGAAGAGCTCTGGGCCCCGGCCCCAGCCCCGTCTTCCGGGGCTTGCCTCTTCTGCCCGACATTCCCGTGGCTCCGCAGGTGATTAGGCCGCAAGGTATCCTTGACAGGCTGGCCAGCAATGTTCTGATTGTAGTACGGGGCATTGAAAACCTCAACCTCAGTGATCTGCCGCCTCCTGGCCCGAAACTTCTGACCATTTGCATTTGGTCGTGCGTCCCTTTCCCCCTTTGGGTATTTCGGGTCAGTCTCCTGTAAATCAGCCATCTCTTCCGGGGTAGGCGAGAACGCAGGCGGGATGTACAGTCCCGGAAACGCTTCCTTGATCATTCGCGCGGTGAATTTGACGGCTTCTGCAGAAGGATCCATGCCGTGGCGAACCAGTACGCTGTATGTCTCCATCCTGCCCTGCATATTCCTCAACAAGTAAGTGTGCATGTCTATCAACTTGCGAGCCTGCAGCGAGTTGATGGCAGTCTGACAGTTCTTTAGACTTGGTGGAGTGGTTCCCGGGAACGTCGCCAAATAGACCCGAAGTGCGGCATAAAAAACAGCTTTCTCACCAGGAAACACGCCATTGTTATTGTCCAAAAGATACTGCACGATATCAAAAACCATGGCAGTCCGCACCTTCGCGTTCGTTGCGAGTTGTTCATAGGACGAGTAATTCGGCACGAAGGACTTGATGCCCTGAGAGTCTTGGGATGGCGCTGGCGCAGTGCTGGCTGGATGTGCTTCTGTCTTCTCCAGTGTGAGCACGCGATTCTCCGGGTTGAACGCCTGATGAGCATTTGGATCAGGCACATCTGGATACTGTGAAACACCGACTGGCTGGTCGTCTGGCTGTTCAGACATCTCAACGTCCTGTTGCTCGTCCGGAACCGCAACATCATGCTGCTTGTCAGGCATTTCAACATCAGCTGTGCCATTGTAGACATGCTGGGCCGGAGCCTGGGCTGTCAGCTGCATACTTGGTAAAGCCTGGGTCGCGGGCTTAGCAGCTGAGATCGGCCGGGTGTCCAAGTCCATAGGTTGAGGGGGGGGGCTGACTTGGCCCTGAAAAGTGAAAGGTGCGGCAGGCGCAGCTTTGTTACCCAGTGGCATTCTGGACTGCTGGACAAAGTTCCGCTGGGTTAGCAACCCGCTCTGAATTTGAAAAGGCTGAACCGGCGGGTCTGGGTCTGGAATAACCGTCCCAACCTGAGCAGTCGCCGGAATGGCAGCAACCTCAACACCTCTAAACTCCATCTCGCTTTCCCTGGCTTCGTCTGCAGGCCGCTTTCTCATAGATGGCCGAAGAGCTCCTCTTCGGAGCTTGGTAGCCGTGGCCCCAGTCTTACGGACACCTCGAGTGGTTGGTGTACTGGAGTTCTCAACTGGGGGTGTCGAGACAGGTTCCATGGGTCGGCGCTTGTTAAAGTTGTGTGAAGGATCGAAATTCGTATTGCAGGCATTCTGCCCGGCCGTCAGGTGATACTGTAACCCGTTCGAATTCTTCCACGAACTTCCGCACTTTTCGCAGACGAACTGCTTCTGTCCATTGGCAACAGTGGTTTGCCCCTTCCGGCCACGACCTCGGCCACCTCCACGACCATGACCACGACCACGCCCTCTGCCGCGAGTAGGAGTGGCCCTCTCAACCTCTTCCACTGTAACTTCCGGAGCAGGTGTCGAAGGTGACGGCTCCCCTAATTCAACCGTCATGTTGTCTGTGGCGCCATCATTTCCAAGTTCGCTCCATCTCTGTGGGGTTGAAGCTGGTACGAAGGGAGCATCGCCTTGCCTCTTGAATACAATGACAAGCGAATCGCTCTGAGCACCACGCTTCCTCCGCTGCGGGTTGAGCGAGTGTGGCTCACCGATACGGACCTTGTAGACGGTACCTGGGGACAGCTCCGGTGGGCGATCATCTCCAGATATCTCGTCTGCTCCCCGCTTCAGTGATGGGCGAGGAGGAGCTGCAACAGCTTCCTCGACGACCTCAATAGCAGCCTCCTTTGGCGCCGCATCAGCCGTATCGGTATCAGCCGCCGGGGTTTCTTCAGCAATAGACTGCATCGACGCAATTCTGGCTTCCTCTAGGGCCTGCTCCTGTCTTCTCAACTGTGCAGCAACGTGGCTTTGCTTCCGGTTCGCCTGGCGCGGGGGTTGTGCCATCAGAGACAGGGCGCTGAGTGAATTCTTTTCGTCGGGGGCAAACATCTTGGGCCGAACCTCTCCAAAGCCATAAGCAGAGCCAGGATTGTCCGCCGCTGCTGTTTGCGTCAAGAGTGGTTGCCCACCGGTAGACTGCCCGCCAGTAGCCCTGTACATGTAGGCAGAGGTTTTGCCGATCCGAATCATCTCGCTGTTGACCTGAAACTGGGTCAAGTGGGCGGGCTGCCGCGTTTCGGCAACTTTTGTCAAGTAGCTTGACAGGTACCGCCGATGTTGGTAGCCGACAGTGGCAACGCTAACCTGGGGATTTGAGGCTCCTCTTGGGCCTGCGCTCTTGATCACCTCGAAGACTGTCTGAGCCAGCGGCTTCTCTGGAGTCCAATGGTTTTGAATCCGCGCTCCAGAATTTTCGTAAAGCGCGAGCGCATTTGGCTTCGGCTCACGGTGTCTGCTAGGATCCGAATACTGGGACGTCTTCTTGCCAGTGGCCAGGAACCTCTGCCACTCCTCGTCGGTGGGATCGCGAACGAACTTGAGACAGTCTTTGAAGACTTTGCGAGTCGTGGGAAAGCAAGCAGCTGTATACTTGATGACTCCTAAATCGGCAAACCGCTGACAACTCTTTGCAACAGTCTTCATCTGCCATGGCTTGCCAGACACTCCAAGCTTGGTTCTCAGATCGGCATAACGCATGACGCCAAAGGCCTTGACGACACCAACAATAGTTTTGCCGAGGGCCGCCACGTCAATGTTTGTTCCCGTCCATTTCGAATGCCAGGAGACAGTTTTGGTGTCCTTCGCCAACTTCTCGAGAGCCTGGGGGTTCAAGTCCAAACCAAACGTGTCGTTATCCACCGTCTTCGGGGCAAAGTCAGCCAGCCAGAGCATACTCGTCTTCATCTTTTGAACTACGACGGTTCGTTTGACAATGTAACCTTTCCTAAAGAGTGAATCTGTTCTCTTGGGTAGAGACCGTTTATCTTGATCGACAAGCTTTCGGAGGTTGCTCTGAAGAATGCCATGGTGCTTTGCTGTGGCAATGCCCTGTAAACAAGCCCACTCCAGAGGCGGAACCTTCTTGTAGTCGATACCGTGATGGGTCAAGGTCTGCCAAACAACTTCTTTTGACGGCACAATCCGAGGTCGGACAGCAAGGCTCTTCTTGGGCTTCTCGACCTGGGCATTGCCTTTGCCATTGCCCTTGCCCTTTCCCTTGCCTTTCGCAGTTGTGGATTTGGCGGCGGGAGCTTCTAACTGAGGGTCAATTGCCGATGACTCGGACGGACCACCGGTGGGCGCCGCTTTGGGCAGAGCCAAGACTTGGTCGAACTCGAGGAAATTCCAATACCTCTTAGGATGGCCGTTAATCAAAATCTGCGGTCTGGACCGGAGCCAGTCCCAAGCCAACCGCGCCGAGGCCAACTCGGCATCGGTGAGCGTGCTCTCAATGTCTTCGCCATCATCACCCTCTGACTTGATGGGTACTTCTGGGTGGGTTTTGCCACTCTCGCGAGCGAGGGTGCCGTGATATTCACGAATGAACTCAAAGAGCTGTGTGAGAGTGATGCCTGCGGCAATTGTTAGCCGTGTAAGTCTCCAGCAAAACCTTGAACGGTCGGTCAGGCCACGCGAAATATAGGCAAACTGGTCCAAAAGGGTCCTATTGATGAGTTCCATAGGTATCAATGACCGAGGCGACTCTCAAAAATTGGCGACGACGCGAGTCTCGAACGTGGTGCTGTTATCCAGGAGGTGATGATGGAAGGGTGATTCAGGAGAGATGTTCACGTACCTTCTGAGCCGCAATAGGCGATCTGCGATATGAGGCCTTCAATAAAGACCTCGAAACCGACTGGGCTCATTGTGACGAGGCGCGCTGCACCATTCTCGAGTGGTGAAAATCGAATTGATGTTGTGTCGCAGCGTGATTTGAATTTTGACGTCTCGGGAATTGGTGGTTTGCAGAGGAATGAAGATGACTGGTGATGGGAGGGTGGGTGCGATTTTTTATTTTTTTTTGCTGCAGAATAGAGGGGCAGTTGAAGCATGCTCCGAGGCAAGGTGGGGGACGGCATTGCAAGGAAGCTTTGGCCCTCGTTTCATTACCACTTGGGGAGCTCTTTGTATCTTCGTGCCCCACCGTTGAGCTCCATGAATGAAGGAAAGTATATTGACTCGAGCACTTGGTGGCTTGAGTTGGTGGTCATTGGTATCTACAAGATCATATTTTGGCTGAAACTGTAGGCCTGGCATGGTGTACTTGGCCAGCTTTGAATATCTACACTCAAAGCCGAAATCACCAAATGCTACCACCACAAGAACCAGCCATACACTTCACACATATTATTCACCCATCTACCCTAATCATCCCTCTCCTTCCCCTCCGCAGCCAACGCCGCCCTCCTCCCCTCCATCAGCTTGCGATACTGCTCCACCACATTCTCCCTAATCCCCTGCAACTCCTCCCTCTGCCTCAAACTCCCCGCCGCCTTTGGAATATCCGCAACCTGCACCTTCGCCCCCCTCACCAAGCTATTCATCCTCGGCTTCGTCAACTCGGGCGGCGCTTGCGCAACCTCATTCAACCCAACCTTCCCCTCATTCCTCTTCTTCTTGATCTCCGCCCACGGATCCCCCTCGGGCCCATTATCCTCCCCAATATACTTTGTCTTCTTCTTCCCCTTCTTCTTCTTCCCAGCTTCCTGCTCCAGCTTCCAAGAAACCCCCATGGCCTCATTCTCCATCTCCTTCTCCTCCAGCTCCTCAAGTTCCTCCTCCCTCTTCTCCTTGATCTTCGCATCAATCATCCTCCACTCGGCATACATATTATGCATCTTCTTCTCCTTCAACGTCCTCTTCACCTTGAGCCCCAACGGATCCTTCCCGTCCTTGAGCTTAGTCTTGGTAACCAAGCCACTAATCGGCAGCGCAGCATCAACACGCTGGTTGAACTCGGCCATGGACTCTCCCGGCATGATCTTGAGCTCTTCCCTCTTCTCCTCTGCGGTCGTCTCCTTCGCCTTTTCCACTAGCTTCCTGATGTCCCCTCCCTTCTTCTTCTTCTTTGGCGCATCACCATTATCCAACCCCGAGCGCGGTAACCTCCCCTCATTGATAGCCATCAACCTCTTGAAAGCACGAGGCGCATCGTCATTCTTGTCGCCGCGTTTTCTCTTTTTGGGTTTGGGGGCGTCATTTTGCTGATTTGGATCATCGCCCTTCTTTGGCTGCTGGGGTTTTCTTTTCTTGTTGTTTTTCTCGTTTTCTTTCTTTTTGGAGATGGTGGTGGGTGGGAGTGGTTTGGCTATTTGGGTTGGGGGGAGGTCGAAGCTGGTGAGGGTGTTAGTTTGCGTCAAGAATGGGGAAGATTGAGAATTTAACTAACGTGTTTTCGTCCTTCTCGCGACGGGTGTGTTTGTGCGGCATTGTGGCGGCGGCTGTTCTCGAGGGTGATGGGGGGTGTGAGAACCGTGATAGTGTTGTGTTTGCGGTCGCAGAGAGCTTCGCTCGGGATGGCCAGGCAAGATTGGGCAATTGCAAAAATTATCCCCACCATTGAGATAAGATAAGACTAGCGGCTTGGCGAGTCGAGGTGGGGCAGTGGGGTTATGGGGCCGTCTCGGCTGTTGAACCGAACGGTGGGGTTGATGGAGGAGGGGTGATGTCAGTGCAAGTCAACCTTCAATGCAGTGATTCACAACCTCGAGGAGAGACACCATGGATGTTTTTCCTATCAGTCAGATTATGGTTTTAGGTCCTCATATCATAGTCACAGCCACCATCATGATCAAGGAATTTTTATCAACCAGCCTCGATTGAATCTATCTAGTCCTGCAGTGGGTACAGCAAGAAGAAGTTATAAGTTAAAAAAGAAAAAGAAGCAAAAAGGTTCCAATCCACGTCTGAATCTTCCCCCTTGGTTCCCCTCCCAAAAATTCTCTTGCCCATGTAACTGTCCTTCCCAAAGAAAGGGCAAAAAAAGCCAAGTGGTGATTTTTGTCGTTTTTCGAGTCGGAACAAGTCGTCAAAGAAGCGAAAAGAATTGATTGTCTGAGAAAGCAAGGAGTTTGGTGTGAAGAAGCAGGCCATGAAAAGTGAGCCCGATTTGTTCTTTTTCTGTGTTTATGTTCAAAAAGGTGGATCCAGAAAGTTGAAGTTTTTGTGATTGTTTTAAAAATCGGTTTTGGGGGTAAAATTGAGAGCCGATTGATGTTGTCGTACCTTCCAGGCAGCGACACTGAGGCGGTACCCAAAAGAGCAACGAATCCAGTTATTGAGAGAGGAGAGTAGCGTTGATTTCGTGGGACAAGAGAGAGGAAAACCTGTGAGGCTTCAACCTTGTCGAAAGTAGCTCGAATCCATCCAAGTCCACTCCCGTACGTTCACAGGAGGAAGACTTGTTGTCATTTGGGGCAGATGAAAAAGTCGAAATACAGCCGAAAAGAGTGAAGATGGAGGTTCAGGGGAGAGAGAGAAACAAGTCTCCCTCTCTCTTGCCTGCTTCTAGTGCTGGAGCGCGCCTTTTAGCATACCATGTTGGTCAATTTACATGACAACGCAGTAGCTGTTGAAGTTGGTGGAGGTCTGGGGAACCTTGGTCTGAGCGGTGGTGGAAGGCATTTTGATTGTTGGTTTTTTGTTTTACTGAAGATGTTCAGAAGTGGATGCGGATGAAGAAAAAAAAAGATGGGTTTAGGGGGAGGGTAGGACATGTTTTATACTTTTTTTTGAGGCTGCTGAATGCCATACAAACCGGTGAGTTGTGGTGTTGAGCGGCCATCTTCCTCCATGGCCACCCGCCACAAGAGACAGGATCACAAGCTAGACCAAATTGGTTTCTTTGATCCTTGGAGATGATCTCCCCTGAGTTTCATTGACTTTAGACAGACAACTCGAGAATCATTAGAGCAGAGTCCATCAGGCGGCGGGTCTTAGTATTGTGCTCTTAGCATTATCCCCCGGGAGACAAACAACCATCAAGGCAAGCACACGGCAGAAAAGAAGCTTCGGCACGTGGGAAAGCGTAATTACAACGTGGGAGCAGTAGATGTTTGATTTCATGAAAAAAGTTGGCTTCTTTGGTTTGCTAGCTATTGACAAAAGAGCTGTTCGGTGGTGGCCATCTTAGTATTGTGACCCCCTGAGCCCCTTACTATTGTGGATCCCGCGTCTTTGCCGTCAGAGAGCCCAAGGTAAGAAAACCTTGGATCTAGTCCTGGTGATAGGCAAAGGTTCATTGAGAAAGTGTTTGCCTCGAGCTCCTGTCGCCGGCTCGCCTCGGACCGGTGAAAGAGAGCCAACAATTCTAGCCGAACATTTTGCCCGTGATATTCTGCCACGGCGATACCGATGAAAGCAAGTAAACAATCCAACTTGAAAATTCGCCCATGATATTCTTCAGCCGTTACCTCGCCCGTTGTCTCGAACATCTTTGCTAGACACCATGAAAGGAAACCAGAAAACACCTGTCAGGCACCAGATCCTGATCTTTGTGTGATTTGATCGTTCTGTCTCAGGCACAAGCCAGCCATCGTGACTTTTCCCCTCTTCCTGGGAAGCACTCGAACCCTTGAATGAGGAGTCCTCCATGAGAGTTCGATCCCCTACTATCCCGTCTTACCATCTGCCCACTTAGAACCTCGTGAAAGGCAGCCTGCAAATCACAAAGTCAGTCAATACCGTCCCACATCTTCCATGCCCTGACAGGGTAACATGATAACAGAGACGAGAACATACCACTTCCCCCTCAGCGTAATAACAACCCAATCCGCGCCCTCCACCGTCTCCTTCTCCACCTTTGTATCAAAGCAAATAGCACTCATAATCCCATCCCCAAACTTCTCATTAATCACACTCTTGAACGCATACCCGTAATTCTGCACAACCTCATACAACCTATAAATCAGCGGTTCAACCGGCGGCATAGGCCCTGACCTCCCCCGATCAGGGAACCCAGTCCCGAGATCCTTCCTCAGCTGCGCCTCGGGCAAGCTCAAGAGCTCCGCCAGTTTGGTGATATCCTCCGGCGAGGCCGTCGCCTGTCCGTAAAAGAGCGCCGCAACTGCAACCTCGGACCGGCCGAGGTGTTCAGCGATTGCCGAGAAGGAGAGCTCGTGGGCGGTTTTGGCCGCAAAGAGGGATTGGGAGTAGGAGGGGAGGCGGGAGACGATGGAGTCCTACCGATCGAAAGGTTAGCCACCTAGGTACGGGAGGGGAAAGTGAAACGGGGAGGGGGTAGGTACGTCGAGGGCGGCGAGGCGGGGGGCTGAGTCGGCCATTGTGAAGTGGTCTTCTGTTCTAATACTGGACTAAAAAGTTGAGAGCGTGCTCGTGACATCAATCCGTGCGTCTGAACTGAGATAAAAGTCTCTACAGCCAGGTTATATACACCCTCATACCCACCTACCCATCCCTCAACAAACGCACGTCATGACCCCTCACCTCCTCCATCTCCCCGAACCCCTCACTCAATTGATCACAACGGTTCATCCGTTACGTTACGCCGTGGCTATGATCGATCGCTGGACTGCCCGCTGTTGCGAGCTTCCCCGCAGGAGATAAACCGGAGACTCCTCGGCATCTCTCCCACTTCCATAAAATCAAGCACATCCCGTACTAATTCAGCGAGCAATTCCATGACACACAAAATCACCACCTTACTCTCCGGAGAATTCAAGGCGTGTTGGAATTGCGCGGAGACACACGCTCAAGTTGGGTCCTTCCCGAGGCCACACTCCCTACCTACCCTGATAGCCCCTCTTATCACTTTATCTCGCCCTGATCAACACCACCATTGAACAGCTCCTATACAAGACTCAGGACAAAAAGCAACCATGGCTAAAAACGCAAGGCATACTTCACACTCTACCCACCTATTTTAACATCTAAAACATTGTATAGTAAAACCAAAAAAAAACCCAAACATCATTCATTTGCCCAACTTTACTTGCTTCTTTATAAAACCAAAACACAAGCCAAAAAGCCCCCCCCAAAAAAAACTCCCATCAAACACCATCATCATAATAACAAAACCAAAAAAAAAAAAGAAAACCAACCAACAATTTGTTGACGCCTAACCTCCCATCTTTCCCTTTCCCATCCCTTTCCCAATCCCACCCATATACTCACTCCCGCCCATCCCCTATAATTTTCACCCTCTTCGCCTACTCTCTCCCCACCCCCCTAAAACGACCACCTCCCCCTCTGCTGCCCCCCCTTCTTCAAATAATCCCTATCCGCCTTCACATTCCCCGCCGCATCAAACCGGTGCAAGTCCTGAATCTTCATCAACACCAACTCCAGCAACTCCTTCCTCTGCACCAAGTCCAAGTGCCTCCTAATCTTGGGGTCCTCCCTCGCAAACTTCTCCAGCCCGTTGCCCCCATGAGAGTTCATATACTCATTCAGCTTCGTCTCCACCTCCCTCGGGAACCGATGATAAAAGTCATTCAGCATCTCCACATTGAGGAACAGCACCGCCGTCTGAGCCAGCTTGGTGGCTACCGCATCCAGAAAAATTTCGGGGCAGTAGTACTTGTTCTCGAGGGACTTGCACTTTCTCGACTTGGAAGCAACAATCCGCATGTTGATGATGTCCGCGCGGTCGCGGAGGAAGACGGCTTCACGGCCTAAAGGTGGTGTTAGTCACTGGTGGGATTCGTAAAAAAGGAACAAAGACCTTACCTCTCGCAAGCAGCGCCGCGCTGAAACCGCCCGCACCGCTGGGGTGATCTCCCTCAATGATAATTTCACCCTTCCTCGCCTTGTCAACAAAGCCCATCACCTCCCTCAACTTTTTCCTCCCACCAACCGAGCTCTCCAATGACTTGAGCGCATTCTGGCACTGCTCCAGCTCGCCCTGAAGAACACCCACCACATGCTCCCGCCCCTTCTCCCACTCGTTGGGCTGAATATCCGGGTCAAACTTGTACGGCTTCAGCGAGATCTCAATGCCATCGCTAGTAGCGTACGCCCTGTCAGCGAGGACAAGAGCAGCGGCCTCGCTGATCACCTGGCGGGCGGATGGGTGCTTCGCAAACGACGACTTGTCGAGCAGCTTGTCAATGTTCGCCTGAATGGCATTGGAGGCAACGGTAGCAGCGAGACGGCCGACACCGAGGCGCGTAAGACCGGAGCAGGCTGTGTCAAGCTGGCGGTGCCAGTAAGGCGACTTGGGGTCGGCCTTGGGGAGGTCAACCAGACTGTCAGGCTCAGCGGGGGCAATGAAAAGATCCTCGATGGGCTTGTTCCAATACCGAGCAGCGAGTTGGTCGAGCACCTTTTGGTCCAGAGAATCCTTCAGCAGTTCCAGCAGCTGTTGGCGGCCAAAGGTGTTGGCAAAGTTGTGGAACTGGTGCTTGAAGTCATCCAGACTGGCGGCGAGGTAGGACTCGGCACTCATGGGCTGCTCATTGTACTGGACCTTGAACTGGTAAGTTGTCTCCTCGAGCTCACGAGTAATGGCATCGGTTGTTTCTGTGAGTTTAGAGGACATTTGCTGCTCCAAAACATGCATCAGCTTCTTGCGCAGCGTGATGGTGCCCGTAGCGGCCCCTGAGTTAGGACCAAACTCCTCCGGGTGAGAGTTGAAGAAAGCCTTTTCGTTTTTGTTGATGCTTGCCAGGAGGTTGCTGCTCTCTCTTCTGAAGAGACCACCAGTCTGGACGGGCATCTTGGAGATGACACCGACATAGCCCAAACGGAGAGGGTACTGCTTGTCGCCAAGAATGGCGGCACCCTTCTCTGGGTCTACGAGATCCATCTTGGTGATGACGCCGATCGTCCGTTCGCCCCTTGGGTCGACCCTACGGCTGGCCTGCAGGGCAGTAGAGTTGGCCAAATCGGTGTCAGCAGCAGAAATAGCCAGGATAATGTTGGGACCTCGGATGTACTTGTCGCAAAGCTCAGAGATCTTGCGCTTAAGCTCACGCGGCTGGTTCTCGCCCGCAACCTGAATGTAGCCAGGAAGATCGATCAGAGAGAGATCCGGAACTCGTGGGGAGTGAATGGTGAGCCGAATAGGGTCGTCAGACACACACTGAGACTCGGGCACAGACTGGTTGAGCTCGGTCAGGGTCTTCTGAATCAAGGAAAAGTCCGTAACCCTCGCAAGCCCCAGATCTGGGAACTCGCCATAGTCGACTTTCGCTTGGGGGTCGTTCACAAGGGTGAGCTCGATCGGGCGCCGGGTGATCATGTTGCTACCCTTGGGCAAAAACTCGTGCCCAACAATAGCCTCCAGCACTGAGCTCTTGCCAGATGATTGCGAACCAATAACAACGATGGATGGCAGGGTGACGCTGCTGGATTGCCCAACTCGCGAGAGGAGGTTTCGAATCTCGATCATCCGCTTGGTGATGTACATCATGTGGTCGTCCTTTACAACCTCCTCTGGTGAGCGATCGTCCTCCTCGTCGGCAGCACCGTAACCATAAGCTGCCGCGGAAGCTCCTGCAGCAGCAGCACCGCCGGCCACTCTAGATTGCTTTGGGGGTTCCCGCCCACCATTTGGTCCTTCCGAGCCTTCCCCGGCGGCACCCTCTCCCTTCATAATATTGTCCAGCCATTCTGGCATCGTAAATTGTCCCTTCTTTTCGTTGAATCCAATTTTGGTCTGGTTGGCGATATCGGTAGCGGTTCCCCATATGGCGAAAACGGTGTCCGTCACACCAGTCTTGATATTTGTGTACATTTCGGTGGCAGAGTTACCCAGTTCTATATCCTGTCAGCTTTACATCGTTTTAGTCTGTATATTCCAAAGTCCTTACGGATAGCTTGATATTGTACCCATCCCGCCGCACCCAACATCAGCCCACCGAACAGTGCGGGGATCCTGACGAACTTGATGGCCAACTTGGGCAGCAGGCGGACAAACGAGGCGTTCCGCACCATGACAGCATTGTGGTACAGCTTGGCCGGGAACTGCACAGACCTCCGGAGGTCACGGGCGGCGAGGTCGGCTCTCTGGATGCCGCCGGTGGGAAACTGATGGAACTGGCGGACGGCTCGCAGACCGACGCGACGGGCGACGGGGGCAATCGCCCCGGCGGCGCGGAGCTGTGCGCTCATGGTAAACGGGGGGTCTGGTAGCTAGCACGCATACGAAGCTGTCTCGGGCAGGTGTCCAGTCCGCAGACAATGGGGGGTTATGGTCGTCGGTCGGGCGATTATCTTAGTTCGGAGGGGTTGAGGTGCATGGAAAATGGGCAATCAGTGATTTGGACCGCGGTGCTTTGGGCGGCCCTGTGTAGCAATGCATTTGGGGTTGCCAAGACCCACCCCACGCAGCAGAAACTGGGACACTGGGAGGCCACGATTATTGCATTGGACGCCACATGCCCCTCAGTCAAGATGGCTTAATCGCATGATCATCAGACCCTGAATTGCACGTATCAGGTCAGGCATCATTCTGACTTTTGGGGTTTATAAGATGCCCATTTTGGCGAGAGTTTCGGAGTTTCCACAAAGAAGCAAGAGTGATGGCGATTTAACATTACTCCGTACGAGCAATTAGTCTCATCTTCCGGCTTCATCGGATTGGAGCCCGGAGCACGTCATTGAGCGCCTCCGAAAAACGCTGAGAGACAAAATGGCTCTCTGACATAATCCTGGTCTGAGACTGATGGGTCTCTCTGTATTGCGTACGTTGCGGCAAGTGGCAGATGGAAGCAAGTTACCGCTGACAGCAGTCATATCTGCGGGAAGCAGGCGTGTTTGTATGGTTATAGAGAAGCCAAAAAAATCTCTCCTAGACTTTATGATCAGAGGTTGCTGTGTTGCTTGAGGAATGCCGAAATATGTTGAGCGGCGATAACGAACCGATAAGATGAACCAGCATGGGCCCAGTTGTGGTTCCAGAACCCAGGGTCCTGTGATAGTGAGGTACAGAGTGAGCTGAGCTTTACTCAACCAAGACACCACGATGCTTCCTAACTATCGGGTGTGAGAACACAAAAGACAGGATTACAAGTTTCCAGGTCGATTTTAGGCTCATGCCACCTGTTTGGATCAAACAAAAGCTGCCCTGGTAGGGCCGTTACAGCGTTGGTCTCAGCATGCACCCCAGACTTTAGGTACTGCGCTAAGATGAATGGGTTCGTTCCGCCATTGATTTGGCCGATTTCGTCAGCCCTGCGAGCCAGGGACTTGCCTCGAGTGACTGTCCCAACCCGTCTCGTCTCTTCCATAATAGGCTGTCGAACCACCCCAATTCGCTTTCCTGCAGCGAATTCACAACTATCTCCCCTTCTCTACACGCCACTCTGCAACTGACTCCGATCTATCGATTGAGTCCCCCGTCTCAGCCCAGCAAGTCCCGTCCCGAATCTATCCATTAGGTCGCCCAATCCGAACACTCACCGGCCCGCTCCGTCCTGGGCGCCATCACCATGTGCCGGTTCCTGGTATGTCCGCTATGCGCCATATACTTTGGCGGTTCTCGTTGGGGAAATGATTTACTGACGTATGGTGTCTAATGCTCAGGTCTACAAAGGGAGCGACGAGATCTTGCTTTCAAAGCTAGTCCTCGACCCAGCACACTCCATCCTCAAGCAGTCATTTGACTCTCGCCTCCGGCTGGTGAGTACCACGCGAGCAAGCATAGCGCCGACAAAAGACTTCAACTTACACACCTCCAACAGGACACTCGACGTGGTCAAAACAACGCCGACGGGTTCGGCATTGGCTTCTACACCGACCCCAAGCTAGGCGCTGCGCCCTGCCTCTTCACCTCGACCACACCAGCCTGGAACTGCGTCAACCTCCAACGATTGGCTTCCAAGACAGCCTCTCACCTTATCTTCGCCCATGTCCGCGCCACCACCGAAGGGTCACTGAGCGAAGACAATTGCCACCCATTCTCCCACGGCAGCTTGATCTGGATGCACAATGGTGGCATCGGCGGCTGGAAGCAGATCAAGAGGAGGCTCGGCGAGCGGTTGGCCGACAAGTGGTATCTTGGAGTAGTGGGAGGGACCGACAGTGAATGGGCGTTTGCCTTGTTCTTGGACACACTCGAGCGCATGGGACACAACCCCAGCTCCCAGCCAGCCGATGGATTTGGGCCAACGGTTCTTAGAAGGGCGATGCTCAAGACAATTGCCATCATCAACGAACTCATCGACAACATTCCCGAGAGCGTTATCCACTCTGAGAATGTCGACACCAGAAGTTTACTCAACTTTGCCGTATCAGACGGCCATAGCGTCATCTGCACCCGCTACGTAGGTAGTGCCTCGGACGAAGCCGCCAGTTTATACTACTCGTCGGGCACACTCTGGGAAACCCGCGCCCCCACCCCCCACAAGAGGGACTATCAAATGGAGCGCAGCGATAAGGGGGCAGATGTAGTTCTAGTAGCCAGTGAGCCCCTTTCCTTTGAGCGAGGTATGTTCACCCCCGATCCCCATAATTGTCCCAAACTAACCATCCGTGCGATAGAAAACTGGGTCAACGTCCCAACAAACTCAATCCTCACCATCCACAATCAGACAGTAATGGTTCATCCCATCAAAGACCAATACTACGACCGCAACCCCCAACACCGCCGCTCGGCAGCCTTTGTCCGAGCCCGCGGCCTCTCGGCCAACGAGAAAACCACCCTCCGCGCCGGCATCTCGGGCCCAATTCCCACCATCGCCGGCCCATCCACCACTTGCGGTCCAGCTTGCGCGCCCCAACCTCAAGAGAACAAACAAAACCACCCACAAAAACGCCTCCTCGGCCCCACGATCCCTACCTTTCCTTATGCCCGTCAAGAGAGCAGTTCAACCGTCCCAAGAACACGGACACCACTCTCGCATTCAGAGTCAAGCTCGACGCTTGTCGGCGGGGCTCCTCCAGCACCGGAGGTGCCGACTGTGAGACCAACCCAGCCAAGTCAGGGGAACATCAAGAAGAAGAGGGCGAGCTTGAGCGCGGTGGATGCGGGAGGGCACGCGGGGATGCTGGGGCCGTATTTGAGCGATACCAGTCCTGTGACGCCGGAGCCGACGCCGGCGAGGACAGAGTATGGGAATCCGGATAAGATTGCGAGGATGTTTCCCGAGTTAGCGCTGCGGTAGGGTTGCTGGTGACTTTTTGGGGGATACTGTTTTGGGCAAAGGTCGGTTACGGGCACAATTGGCGTACTGCGGAGTCAAAAGTTATGGTTTGGCTTGTTTCAGCGTTGGTTGGGAAGTGGAATAAGCGGGATCGGATACCTCTTGTTTTTGTGTATATGTCTGTAATTATTCTTGAATTCAAGCTTTCAGATTTGGAACACTTTGATCAGTACTGGGGTTGTGATGTGTGTTGTGATGTGTGTGTGTGTGTGTGTGTGTGTGTGTGTGTGTGTGTGTGTGTGTGTGTATGAGTGTCAGGGGTACTATCCATCAAGGTGCCTACAGAACTGAGGAGTAGGCAAGTGATATGTAACCTCACCCGCATCACTCACGACATGATAACAGCAGTCCTTCAAAACGCTCAACTTGTAAGCTCGCCCTATATAAGGTATCTCATCCAATATAAACCCATCCTCCAAAAAATATATATATATATAAAAATCCAATAACGCCATGTAAGTTCCCACCCCACAATGACAGAGCTATGTACAATCCCTCTCTTCCTTCCCATTTCGCTGCCCAAGACCCCTACCCAATCAGTCACTACTCATCTGCACAGTAACCTCCCACCTCAAACTCCCCCCCCTCCCATACCCCTCCCCCAACCGATTCTGCACCACCCTCCCCAATCTCTGCCGTAACTGGCTGACCGCCCCATCCTGCCCCTGCCCTCCCCCCATCATCTCCCCCCCCTTAACCTTGACCTTCAGATTCGCCATCGCAAGCCCATAGTGCACCTGCCAAAACTGCGCCTCCTCCACCCTCTGAACCTGCGGCTCGCTCTCAATCTCCTTGATCACGCTGGCGACTTCGCTGCTGTCCCCCTTTTGTTTCTTGCTGTCGACGTGGTTGTACGACATGAGGAGCATAAACCCTTGTCCTACTGCTAGACGAGCCCCGAGAAAAAACATAGACAGGGAAATCGTCGCGCAGATTAGACGGTCGAGCCAGATGATGTGGGGGATGTAGACTAGCGGCAGGACAAGCATGATGCCTGAAAAGAAGAGGGTGAGAAAGTGGAAGGGGTTGGAAAGGATGGTGGATTCGGGTAAGAGGGAGGAGAGGTACGGCAGCGGCACGCGCATGACACGGCGGATCCGGCCGTGGTTTCGCAGGCCGTAGGCAGAGATGAGGGTTGAAACAAAGGCTGCGAAGGAGGCGAGGTCGAGGGTGCCGGGGGTGATGTATCGTGCTCCGTGACTGTGACCACCACCTCCGTGGCCACCGCCGGCGGGTTGGGAGGAGTCATCGGTTGTTGAGACGGGGTGGTGAGGGGCGTGGTGGCCGACGGATTCGAGGACGTCTTTCATGGAGTGCGAGATCAGGTCGAATCCGCCAAAGACGAGAAAGACAGACATTGCGAAGCCGGCGAGGACTTCGGCTCGTTGGAGGCCGAAGGGGTGCCGGATCGAGGAGCGGCGCCATACTTCAAAGTTGCCTAGGACGTCGACTGCTACGCAGACTGCGGCGGAGCCGACGTCGAAGAAGACTAGGTGGGAGAGGGCTGTCATGGCCAGGGAGCCTTCGGCCGAGAGGAAGACGTAGAGGGCGATGAGGGCGTGGAGGGAGCACCACCATAACCTGGCTTTTTGATCGCGCTGCATGCTCGACCAGGCTTCTCGGAGGGTTGGGATGGGGAGAGAGGCGGGGAGGACGGGGGGCGGTCGAGGGGGTGGTTCTTGGAAGATTTGGTGAGTGGCCGAGATGGAGGAGTGTTTGTATCTGTGACCGCGGCGTTGGCCGATGTTCTGCGAGTTGTTAGCTGAGTGATTGGATAGGAAGAGGCCGAAGACATACAGATTTGATCGGTCCAGACGAGATAATCTGGGTTTGGAAGTTGAAGGGGTTCTTCATGGCAGGCGCATCGCCGCCGTTGGCGGCAAGGCCCCCATCGGACGACATGCTGTTGAAGAGATGATCGGGCGTCGGCGGCCGTAGCGACGGGTGGTGAGAGTAGGGATCGAGGAAGGCGGCAGGACTGCTTCGTGGGGAGGGCGCGAGGTAATGCTGTACCGGGGACGAAAAGGGCGCGGCTTCCGGCTCTGATCGGACGGTTGCCTCGGGTTCGTTGTTTGGATGATTTCGACCTGGCTGTTGTTGTTGCTGATCCAGATCAAAATCGTCGCAAACAAAGTGAAAAGAGGGCTCGCCGTGTTGACCGGTAATCGCAAAAACCGGCGTCGGCGGTGTCCCTGGAGGTTGAAGAGACGGCTTTGGACCTGGAGCCATCGACAGCGCACGCTGTGGGCAGCAGGTGGTTCGTTCGTCGTCGAGGAGTGTTCGAGGCGGGCGGAGCTGGGCGTGTCCGATCTCCAGGGTGTTCCTGGACGCCTTCCCCTTTTTGCCTAGCGTGGGGTTACACCGTTTTGCGGGAGGTTCCTACTGGGGAAGGCCAGATGCGCTGGGCTGTGGACGTCTTTGCGTCTTTGATATCTTTGACTGGATTTGGAGATAGCGCTATGCAAGAGAACATGTAGAATCTGCAATACCTATCTTCCCATATTGTCTCATTCCGTTGTCTCATAGCCTCCATCATTGATTTCAGTGTTGGCCAATGGAGGGACCTGGGGGAGGCGGGTGGGTCGTAAACCATCAAATTCAGGGGTACGTTGCCTGCCGGGATGGCGCCGGGTGGCCTGTCACCTAACGTTTGCAGGGGGTTGGAAATGTTACATTTCTCGCGTTGTTGAGCCTCAATCCATCAAATTCCATCTCGAGATGTGAATGTCCATGTCTTGTTCCTGGTCCCAAAACAGCAGTTTCAACGCCAGTCCACCCCACCGGCTTGCCCTGACAGATGGATCTGAGACCCTGTTTGGACGTGCCCTATTATTTCGAGGGGTAACACGCCATTGACGCCCTGTGGCCGCCGCGACACAGACATCTTCCTCCTAGCCAGAACCTTGTTCGGAAACTGTCTGTTCTCCTACGCCATATTCAGGTCCCCGATATCTCCCATTGGCCATGGACGAGTCGTCATCGGTCACAGGCGCCGGCGCCGATACGCCATCTTCCGTCCCAACTCGTCCAGCGCCCGGTCGCAAGCGCAGCAGCTCTGGCGCTGGAGGCTTGCTTTCGAAACTACCTTTTATGCGAAACTCGGGCGAACACCGCCCACGATCCCGCCGCAACACCAACGAGACCGAGATCACAACATTTCCTCCCACGCCCTCTTTCACCTCCATACCGGCCGACACTCATCCACGCTACGCGGGTGCGCCCAACGCTGCGCCCCCGCCGTTGCCTCACATTATCCAACATCAAACCCAGCAGCCGCAACCGCTAAAAACACGACGACGTAGAGGATCGTTGCGAAAGGTTGCCCTGTTGGGGCGGGGTGCTCAAAGAGAAAAGCGGGATCGTGGACTAACAATCGACACAAAATTGAACGTCTATGGCGAACCGAACGGGACACCAATCCAAGTCACAGCCGGCACCGCGCCGACCTCGGTTATATCAAACACATTACACCTCCAGAATAATAGCGGTATCTTGAAGAATTCTATTAATACATCTACACCGTACGGTCTGGGAATATCAGACCTCACACCCCGACCCAGCATGGACGGATATGCCAGCCGAAGTGGTTCCCAACCGTCCGATCCAGACGCAACCCCCACTGCCGCATTGGCCCCTATAAATGCCAACACGCCCAGCTCAAGAAATAGCATCACCGGCTCAAGAAGCCCAAGTATAAGCTACAGCACCACAGACGATGAAGACGCCCTCCACATGGCCGTCCCCACCGGGCCGGGTTCATCAACATCGAACCTCTCGTCCACCTCCTCCTCCGTTAACCTCCTCCGCCCGGAAAGAGCCTCTGTCTCCTCCGCCTCGGGGTCAGAATCTTACTTTCTCAACCCCCCCCATTCTCCCCACAGCCCTCCCCGACCGTTGGGCCTCGGATCATCCACCTCAGGCTCATCAATCCTCCCATCAATCCAACGCCGTCGCGGCACGGTTCAGAGAGCGAAGTCCCCGCTGGCACTCACCTCTCTGGCAGGGCTATCAACGACACCCCTGCCACAACCAGACTCAGACTGGGACTATTCCGAGACGGAGTGGTGGGGGTGGGTGGTGTTGATTGTGACGTGGACGGTGTTTGTGATTGGGATGGGGAGCTGCTTGGGGGTTTGGAGCTGGGCGTGGGATGTGGGGACTACACCGTATGCGCCGCCTGAGTTGGAGGATGATCCGACGTTGCCGATTGTGGGGTATTATCCTGCGTTGATAATACTTAGTTGTGTGATGGCCTGGGTTTGGGTGGTGGTTGCGTGGGTGGGGATGAAGTATTTTAGGCATGCTAGGGTTAGTGGGGATTAATGTTGAGATTGGGGGAGGGTTGATTTGAGCCAGGCGTTTGGTGGGCTTTTGATTTGGGATAGCATTGAGGGGGGTATGTTGGTTGTGTATATTGGGTATGATGGGTTGTTCAGCTTTGCTGCTGTGTATTTAAAGTAATTTGATCAACTGGTTGACTCCAGCTTTGTGAGACGAGATGGGTCTGGTGTGGTTCTGTTGCTGTGCGACTTGACCTCACGACTCGACTTTGTGCACACCTTCAAGGAAGGAGCAAACGATGGCTTATATATTAGGTCAAAACATGCCCCTTTCCAACAGCAGCTCTGGAATGCTTACCAGGGCGCCACACACCTGTGTGGTCAGGTCAAATGGTAAGGATGTCAGAGCTGCTGTTTACCGTCCACCGCCTACCGCCGGGGTTTTGCAACCGATAGGCCCCGAGTTCGATCCTTCTTCGTTGAAACCTTTCGAGGTTTTCGTAGCCCCTCGTTAGAAGATGGGGGGTGAGCTTTCTGTGAGTTTTGAGGCTGGACTTTTATGACTTGGTTGGCTGTTTATATTTCTTGAGAATGTTCTTTAGCTACCGAGTTGAGTTATAAGTTCTGAGTCTCTGTTTGACTTTACGGCTTGGTTGTTTAATTCCTATAAGTGCTCTTCGACTACAAAGTCGAGTCACAACTTGGGTCTTGTCGAGAAGTTGGCGCTGAATATTCGTCACTGCCCTTTCTTTGTTGAATCATGACTTTTGCTTTTGGGGCTCTATATATTCTTTCACTTGTAGTGTTTTGTTGTCCCATGCAAACGATTATAATACAGAACTTATATATAGATGTTTCGTGACGTGAGGAGTTGTAATATGGGATTACCTGATGTTATTAAGTTACAGGCGTTTCCATGATGAGAGAACTTCTACAATTAGTTTACAGTGTTGAAGTGTGACGGCTTTTTGTTATTCCAGGTACGACGAGACAAAATCTTGAGCTGAAAGGATTTAATCCATAATGCTACATATGGAAGATGGACACACATAACGACTCAGCGAAAATAATTGTACAATTTGCTCTTAGGTCACTCAGTTGTTTCTCTGGACTCGTGTTATATAGCTGGGCTTCTCGGTGGCTGATTAGCTAGAAAGGCGTATAATGGAAACATCGGAAGCAGTTCATCATCCTATTCTCAGTGCCATTTTCGTCATAACACTAGCTTTATGTTGACATGGCATGATTCTTCGTTATCCCCACCTCACCTTACTTAAGTTCAGATTCGTGCGATGCTTCCCCAGTAACACAGAACCCGGGATCGGAGCCGGAGATTTCGACAGCTCGGACACAAGACCAGAACCCAACAAGGCGGGAATAACGGGTGTATACAACACACAGCTTGTCGATCTCAAGTCATAAAGTAATAGTGTATATGTTATACACCCCTCTCTTGTAGTGTATATCTCGTCAGCTGAAGATAATGTAGGCAGTTGGGTTGGTGTTAAGGCGTCAACAACTGTCGATCCCACAACCGGTGATGCCGGCGATATCGCCTCCCAGATCTACCACCGCCTCTTCCCTTTCCTTACCATGTAGGTCGGGTGATCGGTCAAAAAGTATGCCAAAACTCAAAGTCTGGCTGGCCATCCGAGCGTGCATACCCAACCTTCAAACTTCCACAGATGGAAACGCTAGAAAAATTCCCAAACATGAAACCTACGTTTGTGTACCTACCTAAACGAACCTACACACAGACCTCCCCTTCTTACATTTTCCATATGTTATGTATGGGAGTATCCAATACAACCCTACCTCATTACACCCGCACAAAGAAACAGAATGTAAGTCAGGTAGGTAGTATAACCTGTAAAGAATAGGGGTTCCTTCTTGGCTGCTGCTACCAACTCCCATTCTCCGCTTGCATTGCATGTTTTTAATATGGGAATCGAATGTTCCCCCCCCCCCGCTCCCACCTCCTGCAGCTATCCGCAACCGCGCAATTCGTTCTCTCTTTGTAATAAAACTTCGATTCATCGAACCCTGAGACTTTGTCAGATCGAGGTTCGAGAAGAAGAAAAAAAGAAGAAAGTGAGACAAACAGCCGCGTCTCTTGTCCAACTGAGAGTTCCTTTTTGGGGGCTGGCGGTTGTTGTTGTTGAACATTGTTAAGCGCCGAGGCGTATACGGGTTCCTGCTGCCGCCAGTATGTATATTTATACACAAACTCACCAGCGGAAGATGTCAAGCCTTTACAGCGCTTCAGACAATGTCAAAGATCTTGCATTTCGATCGAAATAACACAGACACAGCCGCCCGTCCATCCGCTGCCGTTTGACATTACGCAAAAACCCGGTTTGAGATGTGGAATCCTTTCTCTTTCAGCTCGGGGGTGAGAGTGAGGAGAAAGGGTAGTTACCCCTCATTGCATGCTCTTGGCTTGTCGGTGGTGGTGATGCTTAGCGTGATGGACCGGTATCCATACTGTGTGTCTTGTGTAGAGTGTCAAAGATATTCACGTGTGTATGTGACGGATGAGGCTTAGCAAAGCCCCTCATCTTCAGCTGATGGGTGATCAGCGCGGAAAGATGCTGATGATAGTCTTCGATTGAGCAAAATAATCAAGAGGCTGAACTGAGACAGGTATTTGATGCTGGAGGTTTTGCGGTGAGGCAAGGGGGGAAATGCCGAGCTGAAAAAAATGCTTGATTTCAGGCTATAAAACCAAGATCTTTTTTTTCCGTACCCTTCCTCGCCTTGACTGGGTGTCATCATGGAACTTGCCTCTCCGGGCTGGAACCCCCCAAGGTCAGATCTGTGCCGCTTTCCAGCCACGACGTCAGCGGTAAATGGCACCTAAAATTTCTAAGTCGATGGGCGGACACTAGGATCTGGGCGGTTTGGTGATAGGTATTCGTTTCAGGCTGACTGGTCTACGCAAGCGTTTCC